TTAAAATGTACTTTAAAATAACTAAAATAGTGGAATTGGAATGTTCCTAACACAAAGAAATGATAAATGCCTGAGGTGATGGATACCCCAATTACCCTGATTTGATTAACTCACAGCATATGCCCATATCAAAATATCACATGTACCCTGTAAATGTATACTATAATATTATGTACCCATAATAATTAAATTTTTCTTATAATTGATTAACTATGGGTTTTGCTATAATTTCTAAAAAAATTTTAAAACTGTCAATTTATTCACTCCTTAATTTAATAAGTATAGAGTATCTCTTCTTGGCCATCATAAACTTGGTGCTGCATATTCAAGAAAAATAAGATCTCATGGTCTAGTTGCAGAAAGAAGACAATTAAATGGTATGTATGGGTGCTAATACCAATTAAATGGTAATAGGACCCTGATCATAAATAATAGTTGTGGCCCAAGAAAGGGGAGTGTGAAAAATGAGTGGTGAGAGCCTATAAGTTGAGGTTGTAAAGGTAGCTAAGGAGAGATTATTAAAAAATGGTAATTATTTTGATAATTTTCAATGGACAATAGGTTATAGAAAATGACCTGAAAACTAGTTTGAGGAATGAAAAGATTGCTGTGATAACAGTGTGGATGATAAGTGCAAGGAAAAAAATACTAGAGGTAATTTGACAAATTAGAAGCATATTTTGGTGGATAAGTAAAAAATGATGGAAGCTTAACTTAAACAGAAGCTGTAAAAATGCAGGGAAAAGATTACCATGATAGATGATGAGCTGATATAAACAACAGTAGTTGGTCCTCATGGGAGGTCGGTGACAAAGAGTAATATAATGAATAACTTGGGAGGCTGAATAAATAACAACAGCATTCACTAAGAAGAGGATAAGAAAAGAGAGATTAGGTTTTGGAGGAAACAAATAATTTCTACTTTTGAACACTAGATTTAGTTTGTTAAATATTTCCAGGAGGTAGCTGAATGTATAACTCTAATTTTCAAAGGAGGCTTGGGCTAGAAATAAATTTGTAAATCAAAAGCATAAGTCATAACCAAAGCTATGGGAGGAATGAGGTTATACTGGAAGAGTGATGAAATGCCATCTATTTTTTGTTTGTTTTTGTTATAAAAAAGTCAGGAAAAATCATGCAGAGATCAGATTTTAAGAAAGTTACATGCTACAAATAGCAGGACTTCTCAGGCAAATAACTAAAAAATCTGTATGAATGGTAATGATTAGGAGATGCAGAGAAACTGTTAAGAATATTTGTTCAGAAACTGATATGCAATTGCCTTGTCTGTTCCTTCAGATTTTCTTCTTACTACAACACAGTTTTTAAGGGAACTAACCTGAAAGTTTCAAGGGAAACTCCTTTACCCTGGCTTCAAATTGGGAATGGATTTAAAAGGTCAATATGTTTAAAAAGATTATTGAATTATTTTAAAAATATTTGCTAAAATGGAATTCTACATATACTATGCAAAGTATATGAGTTAGAATTTGTCTAGCTGCAATGAATAGAAAACCAAAATCCAAGCAGCTAAACAATAAAGAAATGTATCGACTGAACATTGCCAAAATCCCAGTAGTAGGAAAGCTTATCAGTGGTTTAGTGATGGCATCAAGGAGATCTGTGATCTGGCCTAGGCTTCTTCCTGAGTCTCATTCCCCAAATGATTTCTTGTTTTGGTAAAACAGCTACCAATAGCCAAAAAAGTAACATGCCTCCATGCTCACCTTAGAAGTGTGAAAAGAAGGGTTTTCTGAACCTCTATTTTTTAAAATTATTTTTATTTTTTATGCCATATAGATGGTTCTTATATTCTTTTTTATTTCAAAATATTAAAGGGATACAAATGTTTTTGTTACATGTATACCTTGTATAATGCAAGTCTGAACTTTTAGTGTGCCTGCCCCCAGCATAGTGTTCATTGTACCTACCTGAATGGTGGGTTTTTACCCTTCACCCCATTCCCATTCTCACCTCATCTTGGTTTACAATGTCCTTTAGATCTCTTTGTGCCTGTGTGTGTGTGCCCATCATTCAGCTCCCAAATATCACTCTCAGAACCCTCCAACAAACCTCCTTTCATCACCATTGGTCAGTGTTAGATTACTTGACGGGAATTACTCTTAGACAAACTATACCCACTCTTAGAGTTGAGGGGTAAAGTCAGCTTTCCTCAGCCAATGTCCACTTTAATTCTAAATAACCACAACACTAACAGACTTAGAGTATGATATGGTTTGGATGTTTGGCCCCTCGAAATCTCATGTTGAAATTTGATCCCTACTGTTAGAGATGGGGCCGGGTGGGAGGTGTTTGGGTCATGGGGCAGATCCTTCTTGAGTGGCTTGTGCCCACCCTGCCATAATGAGTGAATTATTGCTTTATTATTTCACAGGAGAGTGGGTTGTTTAAATGGAGACTGGTACCACCTCCTCCCTGTCTTGCTCCTGCTTTCTCCATGTGATGTGACACTCTTGCTCTGCCTTTACCCTCCACCTTGGTTGGAAGTTCCCTGAAGCCCTCACCAGGAGATGCTGGCATGATGCTTCTTGTACATCCTGCAGAACCCTGAGCCAAACAAACCTCCTTTCTTTACAAATCACCCAGTCTCAGATATTCCGTTATAGCAACCCAAAATGGGTTAACACAGTGATTTATTAAGAAAGGCACTTAATAGGAATTATCATATGTAATGGTCATAACAGCTTTGTTTAGGTGACCTGATTTTATCCATTTTGCAGTAGAGGGGGTAGAAGTTTCTAGAAATTGTGTAATTTACTTGTAGTCCAATAAATGCAGGACATGATTTCAGCTTTGTCTGCCTCCTAAGTTATTAATCATGACATTTTATTCAATCTCAAGAAAAAAGTCTTTCTCTTTCTGCCCCATTTCCCTTTTGGTGATAAAGATATTGTTTTTTTCCAAACAATTGCCCAAAGCCTGCTCAGTAACCTCAAATCTCCAGGTGTCTGATGAGCATCACTCCTATAAGAAATCTCCTCTTTTTCATTGTGACCTCCTTACATCGCTGAGATTCAGCAGAATATTATGAAGTCGTCTGCTACAACGAAACAATGTGGATTCTTGCAATCTCTGGCCCAGGAACAGGACATATGCTGAGAAGCAGGCACAAAAATAATTCTTTCAAAGCTCCTGCTTTATAAGGTCCTCAGAAAGAGATATAAGGCTGAAACTTTTTCCTAGAAGTTCATTTGCATCATCAATTAGAACCAGAAAGGTGGGTCAGAATTTAAACTTAAAGTGTTTGAAAGCAAGTCTTCTAGTTTACCAAAGCTAGTTGGGGAGTCTAATCTTTTAAAGGCCATGAAATAGCAGCAAAATCGTATAGTTTTTTCCACTGGTTATACATTAGACAATGTGAATAAAATTTCTTTTATATCTGACCCAAAAAATGTGGATGTAGAGTTTCTTTGTGAAATGTGTCTCTTCATTATAAAACTTTTATGCTAGATGAAAGGGACCTAGCAAAGAAATGACCAATGCTGACTGTCAAAGCCTTCATTTGACAATACTTGTTATATTCTAATTTAATAAATGATTGATATCTTTCTTTATATTACTTGATCAAAAGTCCATGTATCAAAATTTTGGATTAAAAAGTCTCATTTTTATTATAATTTTAATTGGGGCTCTTGGATAATTTAGAAAGTGATGCTAGGAACATTTCAATCACTAAGCATATACACAATTCCTAATTGTGAAGGAAGTAAAGCAGATGATAAGCCAATGTTAGAGAGGAAAATGATTAATTTTAATGTTTTCTCTCTAGAAATATGTTTAAATACAATTTCAATGGAAACTATGTTCATTCATTTACTTTAGAGACATACTTAGTGCATGCAAGGAGCTGTCCATAGATTAAGGCACTGGTCCCCAAAATCTTTTTGGCACCAGGAACTGGTTTCATGGAAGACAATTTTTCCACGGACTGGGGAGGCAGAGAGGGGAAGGATGGTTTGGGGATGATTCAGTTCAAATGCATTATATTCATTGTGCAGTCAAACCTCTCTGCTAATGATAATCTGTATGTGCAGCTGCTCCTCAGTGCTAACATCACTGCCTCAGTTCCACCTCAGATCGTCAGGCATTAGATTCTCATAAGGAGTGTGCGTAGTTTACAGTAGAATTCAATCTGCTATGAAAATTTAATGTCACTGCTGATCTGACAGGAGGTGGAGCTTATGTGATGATATGAGTGACAGGGAGCAGCTGTAAATACAGATGTAGCTTTGCTTGCTGGCCCACCGCTCACCTCCTGCTGTATGCCTTGGTTCCTAACAGGCTGCAGGCTGGTACCAACTCCAGGGTACCAGCCTGCAGCCTCTGTGGACTGCAGAATAAAGATGTAAATTGCCATAAAGTGTCTTACGGTAGAATAGAGAACTAAAGTTTATAGTCGAATGAGTAAAATATATTGTAAAAAGTTAAAAGTATTATATAAAAGATTTCATCAAAAGCAATGTATTATCAAGAGAAAAACATTACATTCAATTGAATAACTGGGAGATATTTGATGGGAGGTAAACTTTGAGCTGAATTTAATTTTAGATTGAATTTGGACATGCAGAAAAGAAGCTTTGCAGAGAGTAGTAACAGTATCATGATCAAAATAGGAAAGCAAGGAACATCAATAATTAAAGCTAGTAGATTAGTTTGGCTAGAGAAGGATTTTGTAGGTTAGTGCCTGGGCCCTTGCTCAGATTTTGAGGGAGGGATTTGAGCTCCACTAAAATTAAAATTTTTCCCATTTGTGGCTTAAGGGGTTGTAAATATGCCCCGGTTTAAAATGTTTCCCTCCCTCAGACATGAGGACAAAACCAATCTAAATATTTGGTCTGAAGTGTAAACATGTCACAAGAGCAACTGTGAGGCTTAGGTGGAACACTTGCTATGGAAACTGGGCTCAGTTTTGCTGGGAAATGGGAGTGGGGGTGGGGTTGGGGTTGGGGTTGGGAGGAGCAGGGGGATGGGAGGAGGTCTTATCAGGTGTTTCTGAAAGTCCGCTTTCCTGTGGTGGATTCTATTAATATTTGTTCTCTCTACCTAGTGTTTTGTTGGAAATGTTGGATTGGACAATAAAGACCATTGTGGAAAAAAGGGGCTTCATCAAGGAATCTTGGTGTCATAAAAAAGGATTGAGACTACTTAAAGAGAAATCAGTAAATCATTAAAGTTTTGAGAAAATGGGAACACCATATTTCTGAAAAGGTAAGGTTTTTTATTTAATGGACTTTAACTCCAAGTAACTAAGTACAGGACTACAAAACCCAGATGCTTAATAAGAGTTTCTATGTTTAATTATTAGACATCTTTTATCAGTGGAGAGGATGAAACACTGGTGAGTGAAGAAGCAATTCAGAAAAGGTTGCATTAGATCAGTTGTGAACGTAGCTGGGCCTGGACTAGGGCAGTAACATTGGCAATAGAGAGAGGCTATGACTAGGAAACATGTCAAAAGTAGAACTAACACAATTTGAAAACTGATAAGCTATTAGAGTCAAGGAAGAGGTCAAAGACAACTCCTAGTTTTGATCCTGTAGCTTGTGAGTTTAATGATGTAATGAACATAAATATAATACATAAGAAAGGCAAAGGAATATTTTGAAGAAAGATAAAAGGCTGTTTTAAAAATATAGTAAGGTACCAGAGATATATTGTATTTAGATGTTCAATAATAAGTAGTTGGAGAAATAAATATATTTTCCTACCTCTTCGTCAATTTGCATGGAGAGATAAATAATAATAATTTATGTTTTGGAATAATTATCTGTTCTTTTGGTTTGGGGGTTGTCTCTTTTAAATTATATATATAATATATGCTTGTTGTAAAGTTTTTAAAAGGTATAGAATAAATAGTAAAAAGTAAATAGGTAACTTCTATGAATATTTTATATGTATATATTGTGAGATTTTATATATGATATAAATATATACATATATTAGACTTTATTCTCTATATTTCACAATATATTATGGTAAATTTATTATATCAATACATGTGCATCTGTCTTGCTTTTAATAGCTTTATACACTATTTCATAATAAACTCAATGATTATATTTACCATGTACTAATTAATATGTAAATAGTATATAACTGTTTTTTCCTGTTTAACACTGATACATTGCACATTCTTATACAAATATTTTTGTGCACAGGTGTGAATAACTTTATAAGATATGTTTCTCTTAGCCAAGGTATAGCCATTTCATTTTAATTTCTTTTTAATTTTACCTATTTGATTTTAATTTAACAAGCACAGCTCATCTTCAATAAAGTTATGCAAAAGTCATAAAAAACATGTATTGACAAACCTTTAGAATTCCATTTAGAGTGTGTCTGCTGGTGACAAATTCTTTCAGTTTTGTTTGTATGGAAATGTCTTTAGTTTACTTTCACTTTTGAAGGACACTTTTGCTATATGTAGAATTCTAGACTGTAAAATTATTTCCTTTCATAGTTTTGAAAATACCATTCCATTACTTTCTTGCTCCCATTGTTTCTATGGAGAAGTTATCTGTCAGTCTAATTATGGCTCCCTAATTTTCTTTTTATCGGTGGCTAATTTTAAGGTGATTCTCCTTGTCTTTGTTTTTAGAAGTTTTATAAAGAAATGACTAAATGAAGTTTCCTTTTGGTTTATCTTATTTGAGTTTCACAGGCCTTCTTGAATCTAAGGTTTGATGTTTTTCACCAGTTTTGAACAGTTCTGCCATATTTTCCTCAAATATTGCTTTTTCACATTCTTTCTCCTTTCCTTCTATGATTCCATGCATGTTAAGCATTTTCAGAGTATTCTCTATCTTATCCTGTCTACTATATTTTTAATCTTTTCATGTCTCCATACTTTAGTGGTTATTTTCTTCTGATTTCTTTCCCAGTTCATTAATTCTTTCTTTAATGTAATTTATTCTGCTGGGAATTTTTTTTTTTATTTCAAAATAGTAAGGGGGTACAAATGTTTTTGATACATGGATACCTTATAAAATGCTTAAGTTGGGGCTTTTAGTGTGCCCATCACCAGAATAGTGTTCATTGTACCTGATACATAAGATTTTACTCCTCACCCCTTACCCCTTACCCTTCCCTTTCTTGATTTCCAATGTCCTTTACATCTCTTTGTGCCATGTGTGCTCATCATTTAAATCCCAATTATTAGAGAATGCATGTGATGTTTGTTTTTCTATTCTTGAGATATTTCACTTAGGATAATGATCTACAGTTCTATCCAAGTTGCTGCAAAAGACAGTATTTCATTGCTTTTTATAGTTGAGTAGTATTCCATGACATGTTCCGTATACATGTACGCACACACACTATATTTTCTTTATCCACTCATGAATTGGTGAGCACTCAGGTTGATTCCACATCTTTGCAATTGTGAATTGTGCTGTAATAACAGTTCAAATGCAGGTGTCTTTTTGATAAAATTACTTCTTTTCCTTTGGTTAAATAACTAATAGTGGGATTGCTGAGTCAAATGGTAAGTCTACATTTATTTCTTTAAGAAATCTCCATACTGTTTTCCATAGAGGTTGTAGTAACTTTTAGTCCCACCAACACTTTATAAGTATTCCTTTCTCTCTCCACCCACACCAGCATCTATTGTTTTCTGACTTTTTAATAATGGCCATTCTGATAGGGGTAATGTGGTATCTCATTGTGTTTTTAATTTACATTTCCCTGATGATTAGTGATAGTGATGTTGAACATTTTTTTTTCATATATTTGCTCATCATTTGTCTTTCTTCTTTTGAAAAGTTTCTGTACATGTTCTTTGCCCATTTTTAATAAAATTTTGTGTTTTTTTCTTGCTGATTTGTTTGAGTTCCTTGTTGATTCTAGATATTAGCCCTTTATTAGATGTATAATTTGTGAATACTGTCTCCCACTCTGTAGGTTGTCTGTTAACTCTGTTGAAGATTTCTTTTTCTGTCCAGAAGCATTTTAATTTAATTAAGTCCCATTTATTTATTTTTGTTGTTGGTTTATATGCCTTGGAGTCTTAGTTATAAATTATTTGCCTAGCCTGATGTCTATAAGAGCTTGTTTTATGTTTTTTTCTTCTAGAATTTTTGTGGTTCATGACTCACATTTAAGTCTTTTATCCATGTTGAATTAATTTTTGTATATTGTGAGAGATAGGGGTCCTGTTTTATTCTTCTGCATGTGGCTATCCAGTTTTCCAAGCACCATTTATTGAATGGGGACATCATTTTCCCAGTGTATGTTGTTGTCTGCTTTATCAAAGATCAGATGGTTGCAGGTAGATGGTTTTATTTCTGAGTTTTCTATTCTGCTCCATTGATCAATGTCTCTACTTTTATACCAGTACTATGGTTTTTTGGTTACTATATCCTTGTAGTATAATTTGAAGTCAGGTAATGTGATGCCTCCAGATTTGTTCTCTTTGCTTAACATAGCTTTTGCTATTCAGGATCCTTTTTGGCTCCAAATGAAACATAGAATTATTTTTTCTAGATCTATAAAATATGACATTGTTATTTTGATAGGGTTTACATTGAATCTGGAAATCATTTTGAGCAACATGGACATTTTAAAGATGGTTTTGTTTTATTTAAATAACAATTTTGTTTATGCTATGTTTCAGGACAAGCTATTTAATAAAAAGGCTAAGATTTTTTTTTGAATGTTAAAAGAACTGATTATAAAAGATCTTATACTAAAATAAATTCAAAATTCAATTAATCTCTTACAGGAACTGCAAGTTAAAAGCAACTATGTTGGTTGTATGGTATTTCTAGAAGCACATTAGTTTCTTCAGAACAGTTACAACTTTTATAGCAATGATTTAATAAATAATGAGAAATAAAAAGATGGTCCAATGATTTTAATTAGCTAACAACATTCTAAAATCTGATTTATTATATAAGCTATGTTTATCCAGAAGCTGCTTTCTTTCTTTTATCAAGCTCTATTTCATTGATACTTAATATATTTTAACAACAAATATCTATAGATTTTTTTAAGCTTTCTCAATTCCAAATTAAGAGTGTTTTCAAATAATTTTGGCAAAATCATGTAAGCTTATATGACTCTTAGCTCAGACATGCAAGAGTAATATTTCCACTGTGCTCTTCCCAGAACACCTCAGGATCCCCTAAAAAGGTTTAGTAAAAATTGGAATCTCTAGGATCCACTTTGGACCTACTGAATATGAATCCTTAGTGAGCTGGAGCGTAATCTACATCTTGACAAGATGTACATTTTAACAATGTTGATTCTACCACTCCATGAACATGGGATGTTTTTCCATTTGTTTGTGTCATCTATGATTTCAAATTTGATAGTTATTGCCAAATTGTCTTTCAAACAGGAAGTATCAACATAATTTTTTTTTTACAAATATACAAGCAAATGCATAAGGCAATCCAAACACAACTTCTTTGTTCATTGCTATTTTTAAGGATTAAAATATTCAAGCATGACTTTTATTTTAAATATTACAAATAATATTTCCTGAGTAAAATCTGAAGCAATGAACAGGCATTTTCTGTACAGCAAATATGCCAGACAATTTTTTCCCTCAGTCTCCATCCCTTGATTCCACTAAAATATCAACATTCATTGAAAGATTTTGGTTAATTGCAATTGAATTGTGTAATGCAGTTGTGGTAACTGTAATAGGAACAATAAACTCACATGTGTCCAAGAGTCAGTCAGATAATAATAATATGTGAAGTTCACTACATTTATGTAAGTGAGATTCTAAACAGGAACTAACATGTACCTAATATAGTAGGAACATTCAGACTTAATTTAATATTAACATTATATTAAATTTCATATTAATATTCCAAAGTCAATGTTCTTTAAGGTGTATTTTTAAAATACACAAATAAAACACATCTGTGGGCTGTATTCTACGAGCATGATGTACGTTTTGACTCAATTCCTAAGGGTAATTTTTGAGGCCCAAATTGAGTCTGACTGGATGATTCACACCACAGTGCAGTACCTCTGCTTTGGAAGACCCTGGGTCAGTAGAGATGAGGGAGGTTCTAGACAACTTCCATGTCTGCAAAAGGGATCTGGTCTGAATATCCAGCACTTTCTCTACATATCTTGGAGGACAGTTTTCATTTAAAAACTGTAAAGATATTAGTCTATTTAAATTGTATAACCCATCTGTAGTAAATCTTGTATCAAAATTTTATAGATCAGAAATTGAAGAGGTCCAGAAAAGT